ATTCCCCCCTCCCTTGTTTTATTGTAAGCCGCCTGGAGTCCTTCGGGAATGGGCGGCATACAAATCAATAAAACTATAAACTAAACTATAAACTATAATAGGGGCATGAAACTATAGGACAAGGGTGTCAAACTATTTCATTGAGGGTCGCATTAGGGTTGTGTTAGGGGGCTGGGGTAGATGTGGCCAGCTTGACATTCTTTGTGTCAGGGGCGCCTGTGGTGGCTCAATCGCTCTGCCAGCGAAAATGTGCTCCCGAGCTCTGTTTTTGGTTGGACAGATTCCAGCAGCACTCTGTCCAGCCAAAAATGAAGTTCATGAAGACTGTGCATGGCGCTACTGAGCTCCGTTTTCGCTTCCAGAGAATTGCAGGAGGCCGTTGCAGTTGAAAACAGCCCTTTTTTGCTGGCAGAGCACTTGACCCCCACAGGCACCCTTGACATGTGTGATGTTGAGCTGGCCACGCTCATCCTGGCCACATCTATCCCAGCCCCGAGGTCAAACACAACCCTTATGCAGCCCTCAATAAAATCGAGTTTGATACTCCTGTTCTAGAGAGTCTTTTCCAGCCAAGCTATAATTGTAAAACATCCCTTTTAATTTTATATTACAAACATTTGATAGACTTTTTTTTACTGCCCTAGGACCTTATGTAAGGGCAGAGAGGATTCATTCTTAAAACATCACATTTTGTCCTGTTCCACTAATACTCAAATCTTTGGAGATAAACTGTTTGCTCTTCAGTCCTTTTATCAGTTTCTCAGTTCTTTAAGGTAATATTACATCTGCTATGTGCATTGTTGTTGTTAGTTGTGAAGTTGTGTCCGACCCAATGTGACCCCATGGACAATGTTCCTCCAGGCCTTCCTGACCTCTACCATACTCTGGAGTCCATTTAAACTCACACTTACTGCTTCATCCAGCCATCTCATTCTCTCCCTTCTTTTGTCCTCAATCTTTCCCAGCATTAGGCTCTTTTCCAGTGAGCCCTTCTCATTAGGTAGCCAAAGTATTTGAGTTTCATCTTCAGGATCTGGCCTTCTAAAAAGCAGTCAGGGTTGGACTTCCTGGGCGGGACCTTGCTGATGGTAGCAGCTTAACAGAGCTGCTCCCGAGTTCCTNAATTTTGCTGATTTTATCTGTGGTGCCTTTGATGTAAGGGAGGAGGGTGATACCGTTGTCCTGTTCTGTGTGTCGGTTCACAAGCACACCTTATTACTGCCATCTCATCCCATCCTAGCAAGGAGGCATTTACTTTACATAAATCCAGTGGATTATTCACAACAACCATGATTCAGAAATCAGTGAAACTTGTTTATATTAAGTATCCTTTTAAACCAAAATGTACATTAATTTAATTTACATTACAAAATACAGAAATACATTTAAATTATTAAATGTTTGGGTGGGAAATGAAACAAAGTGCTGTAATTTAATACCACTAAGTCCATTTTCTGCTTTTCTTTGAAGATCTCTTACTAAAATATCAAAATGGATGCATAGTGAGACACATGCAGGGATTCCAGTGACAACAACAAGGATTGTGACAGGTATTTTCTCTATACCTTGTTTGCACATCTCACTTCATGTAAGTCTTTTATATGTTGTAATCTATTGTGTAATTTAAGTGCTAACAAGCAGATTTAACAGCCAGATGGAGCTTGAGCAAGCATGTCAAGCTGCACATTTCCTTCTCTCCTCTCCCTACTTCCTTCTGTCTGAAACAAAAAAACTAAAAGCAATTGGGGGATGGAAAAATGTTAAAGAAAATTAATGGTAAGGAATATTCAAAAGATAAAATATTACTTTATTCCAGTCTACATTCTGTCCACTAGATCAGGATTGTAGAAATAATTTTAAGCCTCAGAAGAAGAGGAGGTCATACAGATAAAGGAAAATAATTCTATTGTTCACTATGTCCATATGTAGAAGATGCTAAGCCATTAGCTGTGGCTGGTCTTTAGACAAGGGAATATCCAAGTAAATGAAATCTATTATTTTGCCATATGCTTTTATATGATTAACCTGAAATAAATAAAATAAGAGTTTATATGTCATTTCAGAATTTAAGATTAATATCATTAAAAAAAATATGGTTGTCTAAATTGCTGCAGAAGCTTCCTTTTCTTCTCCTTTTTTACAAATATTTTTTGAGTG